ACAGAAATGTATCTTCTCACTGTTCAAAGTGCTGGTATCTGACAAGGGCCTTCCTGCTGAATCATCTCATGGCGGAAGGCAGAAAGTTAAAGAGAGAGAAAGAGAGACAGAGACAGACACACAGAGAGAGAAACATGGACGGAGGGAGGGAGGAAGGGAGGGGAATTTGCTTTTTCATAATAAACTCACTCTCTCAATAATGGCATTAATCTACTCATGAGGGCAAAGCCCTCATGGCCCAATCACCTCTTGAAGGTCCCACCTCTCAAAACTATAACAGTGGCAGCTAAATTTCAACATGAGTTTTGAAAGAGACAAACATTCAAACCATAGCAGACACCAATTAGGCACCAGGCATGAACCAAGTGCTATAGAACAGCACTATCCAACAGAACTTTCTGGAATAATGGCTTCTCTATGCTATCCAATACAATAGTTACTGGTTACAAATGGTTACTGAACATTTGACATGTGGCAAGCACACCAAAAAAGTGAATTATTTATTTATTTTAATTATTGAAACTTAAATTGCCACATGTGGCTGGTGATTATTATATTAAATGCCCAGCTATAAGGGATATCAAGATATTGGCTGGGCGTGGTGGCTCATACCTGTAATCCCAGCACTTTGGGAGACCAAGGTAAGAGGACTGCCTGAGCCCAGGAATTTAAGACCACCCTGTGCAACATGGCGAGACCTCGACTCTACAATAAATCAGAAAATTAGCTGAGCATAGTGACTTGTGCCTGTAGTCGCAGAAACTTGGAAGACTGAGGTGGAAGGATCCCTGAGCCTAGCAGATCAAGGCCATGGTAACCATGGTTGTGCCACTGTACTCCAGCCTGAGTGACAGAGTGAGACTCCAACTCAGAAGAAAAAAAAAAAGATATGAGAAAACATGATCTATGCACACAAAATCTTCATGTTCTATCTGGAGCAACAGACATGGACACATGAAAAACTGACTTATAATCAGATGGCAAGTTAGTGGCATAGGAAGCAGAGGCAGTAGGGACTTGAATTCAGGGAAGATGTGGCAGACGTGGTAGGAGATGAGTCGAGAAGGCCTCGCAGGAGAGCAGAACTGTCTAGGCCAAGGATGTCACAGCACCATGTTGCTTTACTCACACTACCTATACTCACACAGCTCCTCGGCCACATGCATTAACTGATTTAAAGCTAATGAGCTTACAGATAAACAGGTTGTTTTTATGGTTGCATGACACCACCAAAAAGACAAAAGCCTAAGAAAGAGCACTGCAGGTAATACTCAAAATCTCTTCCTCAGCAGTATGACAGGCAGGGCGGTCCCAGCGGGTCTATTAGAGGGCATGTCTTTAGCACCAAGTGATCTGAGCAGAGAGGAGCAGCAATGCTCCAGGATGTTTGGGAAGCCGATGCAGAAGAGCAGAAGAACAGTCAGCTTTGGGGTAACAAAAGCTCAAGAAAAAAGTCTTCGGCTGATAATGGTACCCATAAGGGATGAGAGGGAAGAGAAGACTCAAGTTACAGGTAGATGGTTAGTCTCAAACACTCTTCCCGTGCCTGGAGGAATTAGCTACATTTAAACTCTTGGTTTAAAATATAAAACAAGTAGGAGATGACAAAATATGGACACCCTCTGCATCACCATAGGGCTTTGTGTACAGCAGCTACTACAGCCACTGCTTACAGTTATTACCATTTCACACAGCCCCACCTTACCCTTCCTACCTCCCTCATTCCCAGTGACTGTGGAGGGCTTCCCTAACCCTCTGAGGAGGAAATAACACAGCTTTCTTTGCCCTTTCACAATGGGGATATAACCACAGATCAGAAGGGCCCAGAGTATGAATGAAATGGATCTTCTGCATTGCTCCTACATGTTGGCTAAAACTATCACACTCTCTTAAGACCTACACTTTACTAGTGGATATTATTTTTGCACCTTTCTCCATCCTTTCTGGAAGTGGAGGAGCAGTACTTCAAAACGTGTAGCCTCTTAGAATCCTGTATTTAAAGGTCACCATTCCTAGAAAAGCTACCTTCAATGATCAGTTAACACTCTGGTACAGAAAACTCCTAGAATTGTCCCCCTGGGCAAATGAGCAGTTGTTCTAGTCCTGCAAGCTGGGCAGAACCTTTCTGAGAGGCAACATATGCACTGAAAGGGGAAATGGTAGAACAACCCCTTGGCTACCTGGTCTAAGACTGACTCTACTCCCTGCTCTGAGAGTCAGCATGAGGAAACAGCAGGCATGGGATTTGATGGCACCAAGTCCTAGGTTTACATCCCAAGACTGTTGATTAGTAGTTTGTGTAACCATGGGAAAGTCTCTCCACCCTCAAGTCTTTGCTTCCTTGTTGACAGCTATTCATCTGTCACTCTTTCAAAGATGTCCCCAGTGAGTCAAATCTCCCTGTCATGCCCACTAATACTATATAGGCCTTCTCCTTTCAAACAGATCTCAGTTGAATGTTTATACTCATGTGGAATTATCTGCTTAGCACATGTTTTTCTCATCTGTAAACTGAGTTAGGGCAGGGACCATGTCTATTTTTTTTCCTCACTACTGTATCTCAGTTTCCAATAAACTATGCAGCACATAGTAGGCTTCAAATTAACACATGTTGAACCATTGAATAGATGATTAATTGAGCTCATGTATGTGAAACTTATCTCCAAAATATGCAGCACAATGGAAATGTCTGTGATTCTTACTTGGTGTGGATGATGACAAGAGAATTAATCCTCTTAGCTGCTGGAAACCATTCTGCTTTCATTGAAGTAACAAAACTGCTGCATTTGAAGAACACCATAAGGAAAGGGACTCGTACAAGCTGCCCCATGGTGCCCCCTTTCAGGATTCTTTCCATGACCATGCCAAAATACCCAGCTCATCTGTGTTCAGATGCAATTAATGCTTTATTCTGATCTTAGATGGCCACTGTGGGAGCCTGGCTGAGTCATATGGGCATTTTAAAAAGCGAGATACCTATTGGTTAAATCTGCAGGGTATCTGGTGCTGGACCAGGGACAAAGCATTCTGGCCACAGGCTAGGCTGAGAAAATCACTCCGGGTCCACCATCCCCCGCCTTTGGTTGAATCCAACTCTATATCCAAAGTGTCATGAGCATCAGGAACCAAAGGAAACTGCAGTGGCCAAAGCCCGGGAGAGCTTGCTCCCCCATGCTGATCCATTCAAGGGAACAAAGGCCTTCGAAGTTGCACTGAGCTGGTCTGGATATGGAAGGTCTTTATGCAGGTTTCCAAGGAGATGACTCAGATGCTGTTACCATAGAAACTGTTGCTACCATCTATTGTCCATCACCCCTTGACAGAAAGGAATGGGGGGGGTTGTGGTTTGATGATGAAGGAAACAAGAAGAGTTGGATTTAAGTCAAGATGAAAAAATTTATTGAGATGGGTCCCTGAAGACTTCCAATGGTGTATATAACAAAACCTCTAATCTCCAAAGGAAATGAATTAGGGACATGAGTGTTTATGGTTTGCTGTTATTTGTGTGGTGAAGTTGTGGTGAATACGGTGGCACATTGAATGACCTCCACCTATCTGTTGGAGGGCCCTATCAACTGGGGTCTCCAGAGAAAACACTCAGGTATAAGGCTCAACAGCATGGTCCAGGCTATAAACCCTAAAACTACAGGGTCATAAGAAAACAGATGCAAGCTGTCTGCCCCTCTCCTCTTCTGAAAACTTTGTTCAAATAAAAGAAGAACACATTAGAAGTCCCTCTAATTTTTGCTACTACCTCTTTACCAACAGCCACTATCAGTAAAGTTTTGATGATTTTTTTACTCTAATAAGAGCTAGAAATTATGGGTAAATCTGAAAATTCCATAAATAACAAACACATAGAAAAGCATATGGCTAATGGAAGACACACTAGACTTGGCATCAAGAAGGTCAGAATTTAAAGGTCAGTCTCATCACTGATGATCTGCATGATCTTTGGTACTTCACCTGCCTCAGCCCCAATTATCCCTTCTATTTCATGGGGATAGTAATTGCCAGTCTACTTCATATGGCATAAAGCCTGATCAAGAAATTATGCTATCACCTGTCAAACACCATGGTGTTGGTTACCCAAAATGCCACACTCATATCGCAAAAGGCTTTTGATTTTAATTACTCAAAGTACAACCATAATAAATCCTTTGAGTCATCCAGTTTTCTGTTTGAAAAGTTGTTGGCAGCCAACGAATTACCATGACATTAAAATTGTGGATGACAAGATGGAATATGTCCTCACAGCCTCCTTCCTTATCAAGGACATCAGATCATATGCAGGCATCAAGTTTGACAATTGGACCTGTCTTCCCAAAACAGCCTTGGGAAGCTAAACTTCAATAGAGAATAAGCTGCTGAAGTTCTAGGAAAGGTTCTCTGGAATAGTAGGGATGGAAAGAGGACACTATTTGGGGGAAAATAAAAAATTATTCTGGTAAATATATTTTCAAACCAGTTACATGTAGAGAATGGGAGCTGTGAACGCTCTGGAATCTGGGAACAGAAGGAAGAATAGAAATTATACTGCTGCCACCCCAGTCCAGGAAGTCCCTTCCATATATTTCAGACCCCCATAATGACAACATAAACTTTGAAATCATCTTATGAAATAAGCACTCATGAAGCTGCCAGGTGTGACCTGTAGTACTCCATGTCTGCCCCAGGAAAGGTTACTCAATTCAGGGTACTCCAGAAGTCAGACAAAGGAGGCATTTAGGCATTCCCGGATGGGGCAGAGAAAAAAAAAATGCAATTCAGTCCCTCCGGTTCTGCAAATGTTCCTTATTTATGTTTTTCTTTCAAATAACACTATTGTGCATTGTTAGGATACTCTTAAACCAGGAGTATCTTTCTTGAGGCGTCAGATACGAGGAATCATGAAAAAAGAGGCTAGGCGAGCAACTGCCTTTCCAATCATGGGATTGGTGGCACTGGCTAATTCTGCCTGCTGGGAAGGAGGGAACCAGGATAACACAGAGGTTTCTTACTCTTGTATATGGGTCCCTCTTGATAATCACCAGGAACCCAGCACCAATCTAAAACCAGACAACCAAAAGGGTTACTGAAGAATGGCAGTCAGTGGGTTAATGCCCTTGTTCCTTAGAAGATGAGATCCCCACTCAGCTTTATCTTTAAATATGATTCTCTCAAGATAACTTCCAGAGTTTAAACATCTGACTCTCACAGTTTGTTGTTGAGTCAGAGTCTCACGTGGGCTGGAGTGCAGTGGCACAATCCCAGCTTACTGCAACCTCAACCTCCTGGGCTCAAGTGATCTTTTCACCTCAGCCTCCTCGGTAGCTGGGACTATAGAATCATACCACTACATTCGGCCAATTTTTTTTTTTATGAGGCCTCACTATGTTGCCCAGACTGGTGACTCCTACAATTTTACCCAACCCTATGATGCCTTTCCTCTCAACACAGTTTCTCTGCTTCCTTGAGGCAAATCTCTCTAGGGAGAACAAACTGGTCATGCTCATTTCTGTCCAGATCTCCCCTCAACAGCTCACAGCACAGAAAGGGAGAGTTGGAATATTACATATTGTTAACTAGGCTTCTCATTTTAGAGTTAAAAGACTGAGGCTAAGAGACCCAGGAAATGACTTGCTCAAGACCACAGAATCATGTAGGAGCAGATCCCGGGCCAGAACTGATTTCTCCTGACCCTCATTACAACGTATTTCTACTACATTATACTACTATAAACGCATGGTCATCTTAGTCCTATGTATATCAATCTTACCTCCTTAACTAAACTAAAATCTCATGAATAGCAAGGATAATATTTTCTCCCAGTCATTCCAGGCACTCAGCCAGCACCAAGATAAGACATGAAGGAGGAAAGCTGAAGTGTTTCCTGATCAACTTCCACCTCACTTTTCAAGGGTCTACCTGTGTGCTCTCCTAGCAGCAACCAACGCCCACCTCTATGAAGGCAGTCATCATTCTGTATTGCCCCTGTGCAGATGTTTAAAGACAGAAATGAGCCAGGCTCGGTGGCTCAGCCTGTAATCCTAGCGCTTTGGGAGGATAAGGTGAGCGGATTGCCTGAGCCCGTGGGTTCGAGACCTGCCTGGGCAACTTGGTGAGACCTCATCTCTACAATAAATCAAAAAATTAGCCGGGCATAGTAGCGCACGCCTGTGGTTCCAGCTACTTGGAAGGCTGAGGCGGAAGGATCGCCGGAGCCCAGCAGGTCGAGGTTGTGGTGGCCGGGAGCGGCCACTCCACTCCAGTCTGGGTGACAGAGTGAGACTCCAACTCAAAAATAAAAAATAAAAAATAAAATAAATAAAGACAGAATTGGGCCATGTCTTATTTCCTGTATCTCAATGCCTAACACATACCAGGATTTCAGAAAAGGATTAAACAAAAAATGGATTCTAAAACAAGTCTCAACTGACATATACGTCACAGAAATCTCAGTTTCTTTGGGGGTAGGAGTTAATCACTCCATTCTCCCTTGAAACATTTTCTTTTCTTGGTTCCCATTTTTGACTCTTTGAGAAGGATTTTAGTGACAAGGGCATCTGGCCTGCCATCTTTAGGAGGGGCCAATAGTAATCAATGACACCTTTAACCCCCAAACTTTTTAATGTTGGTATAAACAAAATGCTTTAAACAAGTTATAGGTAAGAACAGGGTGTGTCCTTTTAAGGATAAACATATACTTTAATCCATCATCACCTACATTGCCAAACCCTATTGCCAAAGAATACTTACTTTAATGACATTCTGACAACCCCAAAATCAGGCCAATATTTTGACTTAAATAGAAGTTCCCAATGTGAACCATTCGTCTACCAATCCTGATTAGTTGACAGGATTTAAAAATGTCTCGTTTGCAAAGCATTATCCAGAAGGCTATTTCTGATGGACATCTGGGTTGCCTATTACAGTTAAAGCTGCTATTAACATTCATGTACAAGTCATTGCATATGTTTTCATAGACATATGCTTTCATTTCTCTTGGGTAAATACCTAGAAGTGGAATGGCTGAATCAGATAGTAGATGCATGTTTAACATTTTAAGAAATTGCCAATCCGCTTTCCAATTGGCTGTACCATTTTGCATCCCCACCAGCAGGGTGTTAGAGTTCCAGTTCTCTGACAACCTAATCAACACTTGAAATGGTCAGTCTTTTAAATTTTATTCACTCTTACAGTTGTGTAGTGGTATCTCAATATGGTTTTAGTTTGCATTTTCCTTGTGACTAATGACACTGAGCATCTGTTCATGTGTTTATTTGCCATCACTAGATCTTCTTTGTTGAAATGTCTGTTCAAATCTTTTGCCCATTTTTAAAATGGGCTGTTTGTTTTCTTAATGAATTTTTAAAAGTCCTTTATATCTTCTGAATACAAGTTCTTTAGATAAGACCATCTATAGCAATTGTCTCCCCTAAATTAAAACTCCTTCCTTACTCCACTTTTTCTCCTCCTCCTCTGTATGGTAGCATATAATCTAAGCATTTAAATAAAAGAACAGGCAAGTATGGTCTTCCCACAAGCTCTCATTGCCCTGTCTGGCCACAGGAAGCAGGGTATTCTCTCATATCCCTGACTGCTACTCACACACAACCAGTAGGAATTTATATAAGCCCATTTCTTCTCTAAAGATTTACTAACTTTAAATCACTAGTTCTCAACTGGGAGCAATTTTGGTCCTCCACTCCCCACATAACATTTGTCCATGTCTGGAAAAACTTTTGTTTGGCACAACAGGGCAGGGAAGTGGTCTGCTGGCATTGAGTGGGTAAAGGGCAGAGATCCTACTAAACATCCCACAATGCCCCCCACAACAAAGAATTATTTGGAAACTCTGCTTTAAATCGATTTACAGATACTCTTTTGGATAAAGCAATATTGTGTAATAGAAACAACACTGATCTGAGAGCCAGGAAACCTGAGTTCTTTTCTTAGCTCAGTCACTAACTAGTGGTATAACCTCACGTGAAACACTTAACCTCTCAAAGCACCAAATTTCTCTTCTATGAAATGCAGAGGCTAACCTAAATTATCTCTAAGTTCTCCTCTCCTGTGACACAGAAATACAATCCTATGACTATGGATGCAAACCCAGACAGAACTAGGAGAAGTCATGAAAATGTCCTTAGGTTCCATACTTAAGGAGTTTAACGAGGTGGTGACAAAGTTCGATTCAAGGAATAGTCCCTGAGAATGTGTCTCACAGAGGAGGATGGAAATCAGTGGCTGATCCCAGCAAGAAGCCTGCCTCAACCAAGAGAGAATATAGATTCCTGCACCTGCCCAGCAGAACCTTGGGATTCAGGTACTCCTACTGGTCTCCATTCCATTCCCAGCTTCAGGATGTGAACATGAGCTCAAGAGCAAATCTGACTTTCACAGCAAGCAGGTGAAAACACTTCCAGGCCTGATATGCCTCACAGATCCAGTCTCCAACTCAGAAGTGAGTCTGTACCAATGATACGGTGTCTGAAAATCCAGACAGAGCTGGTAGGAGGAAAGTCACCTCCTAGCTGGAACTTGGGACTCACCTCCATGAAATGAGAGGCCTCAGACAATACCAACACTGAATCCTAATCAAGTTTCCGCCACGCACGTTCCTTTTAGGGGGAAGAAGGTCCTCCAATAATTCTTACAACAGCTGTTCCGTAGGTTAAATGAAGTTGAAAATTGCTCCTATGGGTCCCTGCAAGAGTGAACAGCCAACCAGCATCTCGGACAACCCATGGGTAAAGTTCTCTAATTTCAAACTGTCTAAAAATCAGAAACATTAATTAAGAAAGAATATTTACCTGGAACGCCCTGCCTCTCAAAAGTAATCCCGAGTTGCCCATAGATATTTCTATTGAAAGCACCACAGCTGATGGGTTAAGAAGGGGAGCCAGGTCAGCTCCTGGGGAGGGAGAAGAGATTTGCTCTTCGAAGGGACAGACTGATCTGAATGGAGGCTTTACACTCCTCCCTGTCTTTTTTCCAACAAGGTGAGGGTAATAGTTGGGACCCAATACCAACCACCACCATCTCTCCTCCTTGCTTTTCTTCTACGAAGGGGAGCGAAGGCTTCTGACATGTATTTTCACAGGAAAGAATGAAAGTAAAGGCAAGACACAGAATGCAAAAAGTGAATACCTTGGTCTCTGAGAGGAAGTGCTCTTCCTTCTGGAGTCCACACCCATGGCTGCCCGCTGTGGCCCACCTCATCTGCTTCTCCCCTCTCAGCTAACCAGAGCCAGATGGGCCCCTGCGGAGAAAGCATTTCTCTCCCAGCTGCAGCTCTTAGTCCCCTGTCTGCTACAATAACCATTCAATGGACAGGCCTGAAGCAAAGCCATCCCAGGCTTTTGCAAATAGTTTGAAGCATCAGGACGTCAGTCCTAAAGCAGAGAGCACTGCTCATTACCAGCTTAAAAACTGAGAACTGCAGGCTCCATTAATGACAATTATAACCTTTTGTTTAATCAGGTTCCCTCATTGTCTGCTGGGGAGGGGTACATGTGTATATGGCAGGGGAGGGGGTACCAGTTCAAACCCAAGCAACATGTAAACAAAATTCCTCTTTAGGCTGGAGCTCAGTGGTTCAGCCTGTAATCCCAGCACTTTCAGAGGCCAAGGCGAGTGGGTTGCCTGAACCCGCAGGTTCGAGACCACTCCAGGCAATTTGGCAAGACCTCGTCTCTACAATACGTAAAAAAATTAGCCAGGCATGGTAGCGCACGCCTGTAGTCCCGGCTACTTGGAAGGCTGAGGCAGAAGGCTCGCTGGAGCCCAGCAGGTCGACACTGGGTTGGCCATGAGTGTGCTACTACACTCCAGGTTGGGCGACAGAGTGAGACTCTGTCTCAAAAAAAAAAAAAAAAATTCCTCTTTATTCAAGAGTGCTCATTTCACTTTTCCTCTTCTACTTTTGCTGCCCGCCTACTTCCCAAAGACCAATCTGCACTAAAAGCTGGGACATAGCCATAGGTTTGATGCTCACTGCTGAACCACAAGATTTAGGCAATTTCTTCTCTTGTGACTTGAGCCCTGTCTCCACTGGGTCCCCTGAGTTGCCGCTCCCCTCAATTCTTAGAGGCAGATGATTATAGTTATGTCTATATAACAAAGCCCCCCCCCCCTTTTATTTTGCCCACACTCATGTGGGTCAGGACTGTGGGAGAGGCTAGGCTGGGCAGCTCTTGCTTGAGTAAGATGTTGGCAAGGGCTGCATCTGAGGGTTTGATGGGCTAGACGTCCAAGACGGCTCACTCACTCAACTGGCAGACAATACTGGCTGTCAACTGGGAGCTCAGCAGGAGCTGTCACCAGAGTGCCCACACGTGGCCTCTCCAGCATGGCTATATCAGGCTAGTTAGACTTCTTAGTTGGCAGCCAGTATCTCTCAGAGTGAGCAATAGCTGACTGGTCAGTTTTTGGATGAGGTCTCAGCAGTCACACACTTCCACCGCATTTGGTTGGCTACAAGCAAGTCATGACAGTCAACCCAAATTCAAGGGAGCAGTCACAGACTCCATCGCACAACAAAACAAATGTCAAAGAATTTGCAGACAAATTTTAAAACCCCACACTAACCCATTGTCACTTTTAAAATCCCCATCTACTTGAGGTCAGGGGAGGTTCCTTGTTCCCTACTCCATCTCTTGAGCCTAGCCAAGTATCTGACACATAGTACATGCTCAATAAATAGTGAAAAATAAGGGAACAAAAGAACAAATGAGCTTCTAGAGTAAGAAAATTTCCAGCTCTATTTTTTGAGTGAAAAGATTATTTACTGTCCTTGAGACTTGTTTTCTTTCATTGCTACAGTGAGGATATGACATTCACATTCAATGGCATTGTCATTAGGAATCAATGAGATAAAATTATAAGAACCTTAGAAAACACAGGAGACACCCTTACAGAAATCGACTGATCAAAACCCCAGCAGCCCATATCATAAGATATAAGATTGACAAGTGGCACCTCATCAAACTGAAAAGCTTCTGCAAAGCAAAAGAAACCATTGAGAAAGTGGGGAGGCAGCCCACAGAATGGGAAAAAATATTTGTCAAATGTATATCTAACAAAGGCCTAACATACAGAATCTACATGGAACTCAAATGTGCCAAAGGGGGGGAAAAACAGCCATATTAAAAAGTGGACAATAGGTATGAATAGATACTTCTCAAAAGAAGACATATGAGCTATCAACAGATACATGAAAAAATGCTCGGCTTCACCACTCATCAAAGAAATGCAAATCAAAACCACACTGAGATACCACCTAACTCTAGTCAGGATGGCCATCATTAATAACTCAAGAACCAACAGATGCTGGAGAGGATGCAGGGAAAAGGAAATACTTCTACACTGTTGGTGGGAGTGTAAATTAGTACAACCTCTGTGGAAAACAGTGTGGTGATTTCCAAAAGATCTAAAAATCGACCTTCCATATGACCCAGTCATCCCTCCACTGGTAATATACCCAGAGGAATTCAAATCATTCTATAAAAAAGATACCTGTGCACGCATGTTTACAGCAAAACAGTAGCAAAAACATGGAACCAGCCATGTTGCCCATTGAAAGTGGAGTGGATTTTTAAAAAGTGGTACATATACACAACGGGTTATTATGTAGTCATAAGGAAGGACAAAATTATGGACTTCACAGCAACCTGGATGGATTTAGAGTCTATCATATTCAGTGATCTACCACAGAAACAAAGAACTGAGTACCACAAGTTCTCACTCATAAGTAGACCCTGAGCATTTATCATAATACAAGAAAGACACTGGCAGTGATGGAGGGGGGCACATCACATTAATAAGGGCAGCTGATCCCAAACCAGGCAAAGTGAGGACCAATGGGAGGCCCAAACTGTATGCAATACTGTATGCAATGACCCCTTATAGACCCTGACATCTTTAAAATTTAAAGAAATGATGATAATAAAAAGGAATGGATGAGAAAATTTATGAGGAAAAATGTTCATTTTCCCAGAGTTGCTGAAAAAATAAGACTACAGACAGCACCAGATAGCACCACATGGCCAGTCTCTTTTGGTTCACAGAGTTTCAGTGTGTGCCCACTTGTGGATTTTAGCATACGTCACTTCTGGAATGCCTTTCCTCCTCTCCTCTGCTGAGACAATCGTTGGAGACCCTTCCCCATCTTGAGCCCTTCTCAGAGAGGCACTGTGGGGATTAAGAACCTGGACTTTGTGGCCAGAGGGAGTACAAACCCTCTTTTCCCCATTCTGTAGTGTATTCCTGGACGAGTTACTTAATCTTTCCTTGTCACATCTTCATCTATAAAATGGGGATAACGATATTGCTCCTACCTCATACAGTCATGAGGATTAAACAAATTAATATGCACTGAGTGCTCACAAGGTTGCCTTCTGAGGCACAGAGCTAGTGTGAGATAACAGCAATTAGCTATTATCAGTCAGTCCACTCCACAATCACTCTCTCCTCTGAACTCCATGCTCCACCCAAAATTAACCTGCTTCAGATTCCCCAAAATACCAGATTTTCTTGCATCTCCATGCTTTTGCATCTGTAACTTCCCTGGAAAAGATCAGTTTTTCAAAGCACTCAGCTCAGTGCCCGGCTCTTCAGTTTTGGCGATCCTGCCTGGAATGCTCTTTCTACCTCTCCTCTCCTCCCCTTGTTTGGCTAATTCCTAGTCAGCTTTCAAGTCTCAATTCAGATGTTCCCTTCCAAGAAGCTTTCCCTTCTGCCCTAAATTTAGGTTGGGTGTATTTTCAATCAGGGTTGCTACTGATGGTCCCTGTGGCCTCTCCCTGAATAATAAAAAAAAACCTCAAAAGGCTGTCTTCCCTCCAGGTAGCACACGTCTTGAGGAGCACAGGTAGGCTAGAGTTTAGCCTCTACTTGCCCCTTCTGCAAGAGCCCTGAGTAGCCACACCCTGCATAGCTGTGCCACTGCCCTGCTTTCAGTGTGCATCCTCTGCATTTATCATACTCCACTGTGAGCACCCCTTAACTTGCCTATATCCCTCCAGCAGACTGTGAACTCTTCAAGGGCAGGCTCATAATGCTCCAGTCAAAGTTCCCAATACTTACTATACCACTCAGCACTTAATAGCTGTTCCATAAATATTTGGTGGTTTTTGTTTGTTTGTTTGTTTATTGTGTAGTGATAGGGATTGGGTCTCAGGTGGCTCATTCCCCAGATAGTGAACACTGTACCCAATCGGTGATTTCTGAACCCCAATCCCCTCCCCACCTCCCCCTTCAATAAATATTTGTTGAATACATTAATGAACCATGACACCATGTGCCTTGTATTCTTCCCTGGGGATTTTTTTATATCTTCCACAGTGTCCCATTGCAAACACAGAGCCAACGAATAACACATGTTGGCATTTTGTTATTACCCACGTTTGTGGTTTTGTTTTGAGCAAGGGAGACACAGAGGGAGCCTTCCAGACCTTTCCATTTATACAGAGAGTGTAATTCAGGCTCCAGCTGGAAAGTGTACTACTCTGCTATAAGGGCCCTCATTCATGGGTTAATGGTACCTCTACAAATGCAACTCTCTCAAGGAAATGGCAAAGAGCTATTCTTAGGCTCCGTTGAACTTGCTTGGGCAGAAACATAAGCCTAAAATATCTCCCTAAACAGTTCAGAAGGCACTGCCCATGGTGCCAGAAGGCAGGAGTCCTGAGCCATGTGCCAAGGAAGCAGGCGTGCCTCAATACACACACACACACACACACAGGCCACACAGTGCTGCAGGATCAAGACTTGAGTCAATCTTGGAAGTCAGTGTGACCCCTGTATTCAGTAAGCTTGTGGCTTATTGAAAAAAAAAAGAGCCAATAAGGCAATAAGGCAGTCTCACCTGGGTAGTTAAGGCATGAATTTCAATTAGTGTCTCTAACGTGGCAGGTGAGCGATATCATCTGGATGGCTATTCCTTCCAAATCTCATGTTGAAATGTGATCCCCAGTGTTGGAGGTGGGGCCTCATGGGAAGTGACTGAATTGTGAGGGTGAACGCTTCATGAATGACTTGGTGTTGTTCTTGTGGTAATTAGGGGGTTTTCCGTTCTGTTAACTCACAGGAGAGCCAGTTGTTTAAAAGAGCCTGGCTCCTACTTCTCTCTCTTGCTCCTGCTCTAGCCATATATATATACACACATACATACAGTCAATGACTATTGAAAAATATG